TGCTGGACCACTCTCACAACCACCATGTCAGACTACACAGAGAAGCCACTGAAATCCACAAGCATGTGGACAATTTCAACAGAAAGGAGAAAACCATGAAAATGAACAAAATCTGACTACCAGTATTAAAAAAAACTCTAAAATTAGAACAGCAAAACAACAGAGGGAAAACAACCAGGGACATCTAATCACCTCTTAACAAAAGATTGCTCCAGGCTATCAAATGCTAATCAAGGCGGTCACTTGAAACATTCACACCTAGCTCCTGCAGACAAGAGCCCTTTGTCCCATCCTGGTCTTTCCACAGATATATAAACCCATTTCCCTAGTTCTAACAGACCTCACTACCTCTGAGGATGCTTCCCATAGATGCAGGCAAAACGTCAGGAGAGAATGCCTGTAGAACATGGCCATATTGCCCGAAAAATCCTACCATAACCCACTGAAAGACAGTTGCATCTGTCAAGTAGAAAATTTAGGTACCGCTTATGCGGGGAGGCTAATTTAACTAATTTATGACGCCGTAAAACCAATGGACAGTAAGTGGCAGCTCTACCTGTGGCCGGAATCGAGCTGGAATCCAGCATACCCTCATGAAGCTGGAAAAAACTTGGGCACAGCTGGAATGTTAAAATTACCTCTGCGCCTGTATATATATGTTGTATGTCTAACTGGCATTGAATGTTTGCCATGTATATGTGCATTGTAATCTGCCCTGAGTCCCCTATAGGGTGAGAAGGGCGGAATATAAATATTGTGAATAAATAAATAAATATGTTAGGTAATAAGGAGGGATTAAGGAAAAGCCTATTAAACACCAATTATGTTTTGATTTTACAAATTAAACACCAAAACATCATGTTTTAGAACAAATCGACAGAAAAAGCAGTTCAATACACGGTAACATTTTGTAATTACTGTATTTACAAATTTAGCACCAAAGCATCATAATGTATTGAAACAGCTTGGATCCGGGCAGGAGGCAGACTGCGTTGGATAATACAGAACTTTTGGATGAGCAAAAGTTGGATAAGCGAGACTTTTCTCTACTAGACTTTTGGGAGTCCCTTAAGTCATAAAATTGCAAGAGCTGGAAGAGATCATGAGGGACATCTAGTTCACTGCTTCTTAAACTGCAGGTCCTCACCCCAAATGAGGTCTCCTAAGCTCAATGTTGGGGTCCTGAAACATTTTCTGAATGTCTAATAGTGGCTCTTTTAGACATTTACACGAATCTGCTGTGCAGTGTTTACAGTGGACTTTGCAGAAGATGCTTCAGCTGTACTTCATAAAAAAGAAAATCAGCATTGCAAAGCCTTGCAAATGCCGATTTGTTATCAATAAATATTTGATTTTTATATCTATGTTCAAGCCCGTAGCCAGGATTTCGTTTCGGGGGGTGTGTGTGAATTTTTTTCAGGAGGGGTGGGGGGGCTGAGGGGGGGGGGGTGCTGAGTCTGAGTGAAAGAGGGTCTACCCTAGCAAACCTTTTGTATCGTTACCCCAATACCCCCATGCATATGGGATATATTGAGCATGGTGATCAGATCATGATATGAATAAACATAACAGTTTAAATAATGCACCAGTAAGGCCTTTTCGCGAACCACCATGAGAATTTCGGGGGGGGGGGGTTGAAGCCCCTCAAGCCCCCCCCCCCCCCCCGGCTACATGCCTGCCTATATTATGTACCTATATACATATGTTTTTCAAGCCAAAAAGGGTCCTAAATGGACAAGATTAAGAAGTCGCCTTATCAGGCTGAAAAATGCGGTATAGAAATAAAGCAAATAAAGCAAATAAATAAAAGTCCAACTCCCTGCCACGCAGGAAGACACAACTGAAGGCCAACCAACTTTAGTGTGAAGATCTCCAAAAAAGAAAGAAGAGTCCAACATCATCTGGAGAGATCGGTTTAATATATACACACATACCCTTAACCTATTAAGAAAGTATTAAGACCTAATACAAAGGTATTAAGAAAGTGTTCAGCCTGTGTTGATGTTTTTGTCCGCAGCACCCAAACACGAATCAAGGAACATGAAAGGCACTGCAGAGTGCTTCAACCAGAGAAGTCAGCCATAGCAGAGCACCTGATGAGGTCCCTGGACACAGCCTATTATTTGAGAACACAGAAATGCTGGACCACTCTAACAACCACCATTCAGACTACACAGAGAAGCCACTGAAATCTCCAAGCATGTGGACAATTTCAACAGAAAGGGGGAAACCGTGAAAATGAACAAAATCTGGCTACCAGTATTGAAAAAACTCAAAAATTACAACAGCAAAACAACAGAGAGTAAACAATCAGGCACATCAATTCACTCTCAACAAGAGTTCCCCCCAGGCACTTCCAGGCCATTGAATGCAAATCAAGGTGATCAGCTGAAACATTCACAGCTAGCGCAGACAAGAGTTCTTTGTCCCACCCGGGTCATTCCACAGATATAAACCCATTTTCCTAGTTTCCAACAGACCTCACTACCTCTGAGGATGCTTGCCATAGATGCAGAAACGTCAGGAAAAAATGCCTCTAGAACATGGCCATATAGCCCGGAAAAACCTACAACAACCCAGTTTTTGTCCTTGCTTCTACCATATTTTATCAGAACTCCATTCGTGATTTGTATTGTATGTTTTCATGTAGTATCTGACTCAATGTTCTTCTCCAGTATGGTTGTTAACCTCATTGCCTAAAGAAGCCATTAAAATTTGGAAGGTAGCTAAACCTAGATGTGTCATGTAGATTTTGCTATTTTCGTGTAGGCTGTTATGCCAACCCAACATGGTTTCCGAAAATAAGCACCAGGATACAAATCTAATAATTAGAAGGAAACATTCCTGATTGCCTTGAAATGTTGTGGCTCCGGAACTTGAGGCTCTTCACACTACGTAACCAACCATAGCACAAGATTCCACTTTAATGGCCACAACATCCTGTTGAATCCTTGGGCTTACAGTTTGGAAAGGAACTAGCCATGCTTAACCTTTATACCATTAAGGAACCTTTGAAATAACTTTGAGGTCCCAGCTCTATAAAAGTGTGGCATCTGTATAGATGAGAAACTCCATATTACAGCTTTTTGGCTAAGAATTCTCAATGTGGGTATTTGTGTATGTACTTTATTTATTTATTTATTTCCTATATTTATACCTCGCCCTTCTCACCCCCGAGGGGGGAGGCTCAGGGTGGCCTCACAAAAGCACCAAATGATGCCATCACCATAAAACATTCAGCAATATATTGACAAATTGGAATGTGTCCAGAGGAGGGCGACTAAAATGATCAAGGGTCTGGAGAACAAGCCCTATGAGGAGCGGCTTAAAGAGCTGGGCATGTTTAGCCTGAAGAAGAGAAGGCTGAGAGGAGACATGATAGCCATGTATAAATACGTGGGAGGAAGTCATAGTGAGGAAGCAAGCTTGTTTTCTGCTTCCCTGGAGACTAGGACGCGGAACAATGGCTTCAAACTACAAGAGAGGAGATTCCATCTGAACATGAGGAAGAACTTCCTGACTGTGAGAGCCGTTCAGCAGTGGAACTCTCTGCCCCGGAGTGTGGTGGAGGCTCCTTCTTTGGAAGCTTTTAAGCAGAGGCTGGATGGCCATTGGTCAGGGGTGATTTGAATGCAATATTCCTGCTTCTTGGCAGGGGGTTGGACTGGATGGCCCATGAGGTCTCTTCCAACTCTTTCTATGATTCTATGATGCAATTTTCCTGCTTCTTGGCAGGGGGCTGGGCTGGATGGCCCATGAGGTCTCTTCCAACTCTATGATTCTATGGATAGGAGTTCACTTTTTGAATAAAGATTTCCCATTTTGTTTTGCAAATAGGAACAGAAAGGAGATTCCATCTGAACATTAGGAAGAACTTCCTGACTGTGAGAGCTGTTCAACAGTGGAACTCTCTGCCCGGAGTGTGGTAGAGGCTCCTTCTTTGGAGGCTTTTAAACAGAGGCTGGATGGCCATCTCTCGGGAGTGATTTGAATGCAATATTCCTGCTTCTTGGCAGGGGGTTGGACTGGATGGCCCATGAGGTCTCTTCCAACCCAAGATTCTATGATTCTATGATAATACATTAAAATATTAAAAACAGTAATTAAAACAATTGATTAAAACACGCCTGCTAATATCAGAATCCAAAATCCAAGTCTGAGTCAATTCATTGTCTTAAGTCTTCTTTCACTTGCTGCTTTTCAATGGTTGAACGCTTGATCTCATAGCCAAGTCTTAAGTTTCCTCCTAAAAGACAGGAGGAAGGTGGCCAATCTGATGTCCCTGGGGAGGGAATTCCACAGATGGGGAGCCACTGCTGAGAAGGCCCTGTTCCTGGTCCCCACCAGTTGCGTTTGCAATGGTGGTGGGATTGAGAGCAGGGCCTCTCCAGATGATCTTAAATTTCGTGATGGTTCGTAACAGGAGATACGTTCAGACAGGTAGTCTGGGCCAGAACCATTTAGGGCTTTAAAGGTTAAAACCAGCACTTTGAATTGTGCTCAGAAGCTGATCAGCAGCCAGTGGAGCTGGAGTAACAGAGAGGTTGTGTGCTCCCTGTACGGCGCTCCAGTGAGCAATCTGGTTTCCAACCATTGGATAGTTGAAGCTTCCGGGCAGTCTTCAGAGGCAGCCCCACGTACAGTTGGCTTATGTGACCCCATGACTTTCATAGAGATTTCTTAGGAAAGGAATAGTGTTTTGTCATTTCTGATGAAATAAAGCCCACAGCATTCTGAGGATGCCTGCCATAGATGCAGGCAAAACGTCAGAATAGAATGCTTCAAGAATATGGCCATACAGCCCAAAAAACCTAAAACAACCCTGTGATTCCGGCCATGAAAGCCTTCGACAATACATTGAACATCAACACATTTGTGCAAACACAAATATTGCTAAACTCTCTGCTTATAACATGCCTGTTCTAAGGGAAGAAGAAATATCTTTCTACCTTGGTTTTGGAACTGTATAGGTTTCCCAGTTCAAAATTAACAATACTTACAGGTGTCTGGAAGCAGCAGAAAAGCTGGGTGAGAAATGGATGGTTCCTCGCCAGGGTCAGGATCCGTTTCTCGGTCAGGGTGCACTCCACATCGTCATCCTGGAGAATCACATCTTTTTTCAGCACTTTGATGGCATAGAGATATCCTGTCCCTTTTGTTTTGGCCAACATCACCTAAAGAGGAGAGGAAGCAACACTTTTATAAAGGGGTCTACTAAATATACTAGAGGCACCCGACTCCTCCCATATTAAACCATACCATAATATTGTAGCCAAAATATCAAAAAAATTGACAAAATTGGTGACTATAAAAAACCCAGCCAGAATAAAATAACAGCATATGCATATAATGCATACAGACGAAACCAAGTGAGGAAGTCCTGGCCCTTGGGCGCCCTAACCGGAGGTCAGATATGACCAGCAGTGCTGCAGATTTCAAAGAAACATGAATGGAGGGCAAAAGGGAGAAACTTGCCAAGAGGAAGGTGCATCAAGCCAACCCTAACTAGGTCTGTCTTTCACCTGGAAACCAATTTCTTTACTGAGTTGTTGTGTGTGTGTTTGGGCGATATGGCCATGTTCTAGAAGCATTCTCTCCTGATGTTTTGCCTGCATCTATATCAGGCATCCTCTGAGGTTGTGAGGTAAGTGAGATTTACATATGAACAAAATTCCAATTTTCCTACAACCCAGTGATTCCAGCCATGAAAGCCTTTGACAATACATCAGAACCAAGTGATTTGAAGCATCATGGCAATGTTGTAATAATGACAACTCTGACCAGACTGCATGCACGTTAAGACATTCAAAGGGTAAGTCAGCATAGAGTTTTCGCTTTGTAAGTATAGTGATACAGTACACATAAGTCAGAATTCTGAAAAAGTGTTTTATAACTAAAACTAAAGATATAAAAGATATATGCTTGGAATATTTTCCTCCAAATATTATGAAATATGTAAACACCAAACAAGACCTCTGTAGAAACATTTGTTTCCTCTCATGGCAGTGAAAAAGATAAACATTATATTGTACTGTTGACCTAAGTATCCCTTATCCTGCGCCTCCTCATTCGGTTTTTATGCCATAAAAGCACAATTTTGCATTTGATTCTGTCGAACTTCATTTTATTAATTTAAATCCATATTTCTAGTATCTCAAAGTGGTTTCAAATTCTATTCCTTCGATCCAATATGTTAGCTGTCCCTCCCAGTTTTATATAATCTGCAAATTTGATAAGGGTTCCCTTCACCCTGTCACCTAAATCATTGCTAAAACACATTGAGCAGTGTCAGCTTATAGTAATCAAGCACAATACTTGGGCAAGTGGATACAACTTACCTTTCCTTCCTCCCATGCAAAACCAGTTGAAATGAAGGAGAGTTCAACTGAATCAGCTCCAAAGAACTTGGCTACTGAAGTGCACACAAGTGTTCCAAATATCCACAGCAACCCTTACCTTTCCAAAACTGCCTTTTCCCAGAACTCTGATAAATATTAAGTCCTCAATCTTGAGCTTGCTCGCCGAAACCTCAGGTACACCATTGCGATCCTTCATGCTCTCTTTTTTCTGGCGCCTCAGGGTTGACTTGGAGACCAATTTCTGAAAACAGAAAAGGGAAATTAGATAAAGAACAGATTTTGCTCTTGCTGAATCCATAAGGAACCACTCTCATTGTTCCCACTGCTGTCAAGACAGGATATGTACCAATTTGCCTTGTGCTAAATGGAGTATTTTGGTCTGTGTTTGCTGTTGTGCCATCATCTTCTTTACTGACCTATTTGTCCTCTGGGTATTCAGTTTAGTGACTGCTCCACCATCAAATCCCTGACACGCTTTCGATACATGCTAAAGGTTTTTTTTTTAATTTCAGCAACCTGCTCCTAATAAATTTCAGCAACCTGCCCCTAATCAATTAATCAATAGGAGCAAGCATGGTGCAGTGGTTTGAATATTGGACTATGATGACAGAGAACAGGTTTGGATCGCCACTCAATCATGAAACCCACTAGTGGCTTTGGGCAAGTCACACACTGTCAACTTCAGAGGAAGGCAATGGCAAATCTTCTGAACAAATCTTGCCAAGAAAATGACAAGTGTGACTATAGGTTAGTTCTATGTGCTTCTGTGCATTGTGGCATCAAGTTCAAACTCCTACAATGTGAAGGAAAATATAGACTTTGCTGATGTGGAGAAGTGGGGTCAAAGAAGAGAAAACGAAAGCTTACCCCATTTGGAGATATATTTCCTGGTTGCAGCCCCATGCATGCTAACGTCTTGGCCAGTTCTGCAGCGTTCACCCCGCAATTGGGTGCAACGTTGGCTTCACATCGTATATGGACATTTATTTTGCATACTGAAAAAACAGAGAGACGTGGAATCAAGTCTGTATAATGGAAACATTTCAGTTTAGGAAACAAGAAGGGAAATATTTATTTGAGTGATTTATTTAATCCCTGACCATTGCCCATGCTTGTTGGGGCTTTGAAGAACTGAAAGCCATCAACCCCAAATATGAAACTGGAAGTGGCATTTCCATTTGTACTTTTCAGGGTTTTAAAAAAGACACCTTTAGTCCTTTTGCAAGTGGTCCCAGTGTGGAAAATTGACTTGCAGTGTATTGTCGAAGGCTTTCATGGCCGGAATCACTGGGTTGTTGTAGGTTTTTCCGGGCTATATGGCCATGTCTAGAGGCATTCTCTCCTGACGTTTCGCCTGCATCTATGGCAAGCATCCTCAGGGTAGTGAGGGCTGATGAACCAAGCCATTAAATGCTAATCAAGGTGGTCAGTTGAAACATTCACACCTAGCTCCAGCAGACAAAAGTCCTTTGTCTCACCCTGGTCATTCCACAGATATATAAACCCTTTTTCCTAGTTCCAACAGACCTCACTACCTCTGAGGATGCTTGCCATAGATGCAGGCAAAACATCAGGAGAGAATGCCTCTAGACCATGGCCATATAGCCCGAAAAAAACCTACAACAACCCACTGACTTGCAGGCTTGCCAAAACAATTAACTATCCATCTGATTTAATGATAAGAAAGACAAATAAGTATTTATGTCATCCCCTAATTAGCAGCACCTGAAATGCAGGTTCCAGACAATCATTCAATTAATCAATCAATCAGTTATTTATCTCTCCTTTTTACAAAGATTAGGGTGAAGGTGGTGCAGAGAAGAAAATAAATGCAAATAAAGCTACACATAGATAAAAGTACATTAAGTCTGAAGTAGTCTGAATCTTTAATATCTTTAGAAGCATAGAATAAAAATAGTATACAGCTCCATCTTCCACACCATCATCAGGTGTATTGTAATTCTATTTAAATTCCAGTAATTATGTCTAAATTTACACCTCTGTGTTTCAATTAGCACATGTACATATTATGCAAATAGGCGTCTTCTTTTGTCCTCATCTTTCCAGAGGGAGTTGTGCATTTATTCTCCTTTGGGTGGAATGAAAAGCAGCCGCATTTACCATCCTTTATGCACAGAAGAACAGGCAATCTAAATAAATTAAAGGGGAAAGGAAATCTTTCCATATTTGCAGAATAACCTGCAAGAGACATTCCTTGTTCATCTCAACTTACTTTTACACTGCAGACCTTGCCGCATGATGCCCCAAAGCAAAGAGCCACAGTGGTCACAGAAAGTGGGCACTTTGTAGTTGTGGATTCGGAACTTGTGTGGGATGTTGATGCCAAATCTCTGCTCAGAAATCTAAGAAAACCAAGAACAAAAAGCAGAAATCAGTTTAGCCTTTAAAGGACTTCAACTCCCAATGATTTTGCACAAAAATGGCACCTTTTGCAAGTGGGACATTCTGTACTTCTCTTAGTTGTTCCAAAATCTGAGGCCTTTATTCAATGATTTAATTAGACAAGTACAAAAGTTATGTGGAAAGTAAGGTTACAAGATTTTTTTTCAAAATACAGAGAATGAATATATTTTAATAAAACTTGTGTGAATTGTAGCATAGGTCTTACACTATTTTTCCATATAATCACCATTCAGTTAAATACATTTCATCATCTGTGAGGTGAGTTTTTGATGCCTGTGTCACAGAAGTTTCCCTCCACCTTTGTCAACCAGTTTGTCACTTTGATTTTCACCTCATCGTCATCGGAAAAGTGTTTTCCACCAAGGTGTTCCTTCAATTTAGTGAACAGATGATAGTCACTGGGTGCAAGATTGGGGCTGTGAGAGGGGTGGCTTAAAACATCCCAACGAAATGAAGTCAGCAACTCTCGTGATGCATGAGCAGTGTGCGACCGCACATTGTCATGAAGGAGACAGACTCCCACTGTCAGCATCCCACAATGTTTGTTTTGGATAGCTCCGCAAAATTTCTTCATGGTCTCACAATATATTCCTTCCCATTTTGTCGCATGTTGTCTTGACATTACGTTCTCTTCATAAACTGAAACGATTTCACGATGAATCACAGTGGCGTTTGTGCTGGTACGGCTGTACCTGGAGCTCCAACTCCTTCTCCTTTCTATTGAGTGTTTGCATGTATTCCAAAGTTCCATACATTTTGCAATAAGGTGGCTTCCCTTGGTTTGCAACAATAGGGCCAATGACCCATCAATTATCATTATGTTCTTTAGTTCCGCCCCTTTTTCTGGGTTAAGGAGGGAAAAGGGCACCTCTAGTTCAGTTCACACAGAGAAGCCTTTTGTACAGGACGTGAATCAGTTCCACCTGTAGAAAGCTTCGTCTTTTACAGCTTTGCTGGGGGGATCCAATCCCACAGCTCTACAGAGAACTACAGCATAGCCTGTGTTGGGGAATTTAGTTCCACAACTCTACAGCCAGCTCTTTGCTAGAGAAATACAGCTTCACGGTTTTACAGCCAGCCTTTGCTGGGAATTGAAAGCCTTCTTTTCTCTTGGAAATCTACTAAAGGACTCTGTTTGGTAAGGACCACTCGCGGCAGCCATAAAGCAATTTGGACCAGGTGTAGGGGCCCATGCCAGCAGAGCTTAGTTAGATTGCCCAGGGAGGGGTCAAGAATTTCCCTTGTAGAAGGAAGAAACAGTTTATGAAGAAAGTTGCCTGTCCCTTGTGGACAAGATTTAAGCAAGCCACCAGTTGATTCAAAGCCTTGAAGTATTTGTTTGATTTATTGAAGATTTAAGCAACAATAAAACTTTGTTGAACTTTCTAAGTCTTTAAAAGAACTTTGCGTGGGGACATCCGAAAGGCCTCTCAGCCGAGGCACCCCTGGCGTCCCGTTGGGCACACAGAAACATGTCCTGTCTACAGACTCTTTCACTGGCCCAGCGCGTGACAGTACAGCGTTCATGCCCATAGCATTTAGGTAGCATATTACAGCGCGAACTTCACACTTGGAGGAAAACGGAATGAGTACGCTCATCTCTAAACTTCACCACAATGCCAGTTGATGAACTACTGATGACTGGCACTGCTCGTTCGCTTCCCCTTGTTTCCTGCTACACGGCAGCAATACCAACTTCCTCCAGCTAAACACTGAGAAGAGATATTGAGGAGGGAGGAAACATGTTTTTGCTTCTCTAGAAATTAGGACGCAGACCAATGGATTCAAACTACAGGAAAAGAGACTCCACCTAAACATTAGGAAGAGCTGTTTGACAATGAAATATGCAGCCTCGGAGTATAGTAAAATCTCTTTCTCTGGAGGATTTTAAGTAGAGGTTGGATGACCATTGACCAGGAGTGTTTTGATATATGACATAATGGGTTGAACTAGATAACCTTTGTGGTCTTTTCCAGCTCTATGAATCACTGGTTATCCAGAATGTTGAAACGTTAGTACTAGTGCCAACCTGTTAGTATCTAATTCCTAAAGAAAATTAATTGGTCAACATCAAAATGCTAAAAAAACTATACAATTGATTGGTTAGTTAATTTCTTAACTAATTCATCAAACCATGAAAGCATTACCTTTTAAAATCCAATAAAGGTTTGACTCCTAATGAAGCAGAACCATTTAATCAATGAGATTTATGTAAGTGTTGACTCACCATTCTAAATGAGATTCAATTGCATCTCCTCCACATGGAGCGAAAAATTACTTAAAATGGTCAGTGAAGCTTTAAAGTTATGGGAACCAATACCTGCTACTCCAAAAGAAATGCCATTGGCATTTAGTAATTAAAATAATGGAGTTTAAAATCATACCCCTGATATACAGTACCAGTATGTCTTGGTGGTCCCCATTCCAAGTAGTATCTGTGGCTGACCCTTGGCTTCTAAGATCAGACAGTATGTGGTGCTTAAGAGTCTTTAGCCTTGTTTAAGATTTATGGGTATTGAAGCCACCCCCACACCCCATTCCCTTCTCAGCAGTCTTGGTGCCGACAGCAATCTGTACTTCTACCATCTAGTTGTGCCACCGGAAGCCCGTGCTAGTGCAGTGGGTTAAACCACTGAATGCAATTTTCCTGCTTCTTGACAGGGGGTTGGACTAGATGGCCCACTAGATCTCTTCCAACTCTATGATTCTATGAGCTGCTGAACTTGCTAACCAAAAGATTGCAGGTTCAAATCCGGGGAGCAGAGTGAGCTCCCACTGTTAGCCCCAGCTTCTGCCAGCCTAGCAGTTCAAAAACATGCAAATGTGAGTAGATCAATAGCTACCTCTCCAGGAAGGTAATGGCACTCCAGCCACATGACCTTGGAGGTGTCTACGGACCATTTCGGCTCTTGGGCTTAGAAATGGAGATGAGCACCAACCCCCAGAGTCGGACACAACTGGACTCAATGTCAGGGGAAAACCTTAACCTTTGCTCATCATCTAGCTGATGGCTGATGGTAGAAGTAAACAAGTAGAATTCGACAATAATCAGAAAAGGAGGGCAAAGTCTCTAGGCCACATATAAAGCAACCACGGGCTGCTTGTTAGTGATGTTCAAGTCTGCTGGTTATGGTTGCAATGTTCATGTCTGCAGGGAGTTCATATGACTTCGGAGACTTGAATTCATTTAGATTAGCCAGATATCCCTGTTTTGCCTCTTTACCAATTTTGTGCTGCATTTCCCCTACTGCATTCTCTGCTCCATTTTCCCCAAGTTAAATACTGTTAACCTTTTGGGAGAAGACTGAGGCAAAGAAGGTGTTGAGCAGTTCTGCCTTTTCTCTACCCTTGTTAACATTTTGCTGTCATCTGCATGTAGCATTTCATTATTCTTCCTTTTACTATGGACATAAACAAAACAAAACTCTTTATATAGTTTATGATCTACCTAGCAAGCCTGAGCTCATTCAGCACCTTGGCTTTTCCAACTTTCTCCAACACATACCGATTCCATTGAGTTGATCTTTTTGACTGTTCAACTGTTTTGTTTAACTGATACTGTTTTCTCTCTGATGTTTCCTGACATATTTTTAGTGTGTCTTATGTTCTGCAATGGTTTATTTCATTGTTTTTTATGTTAGCTGCCTTAGCCCTTTCTATTTTTGTACCAGGATAGGATATGATTTAAATATTTACATCCAGACATGCAAACCTAAAATGCAACAAATTTCTTTACACTAGAAAGGTACTGGACTTGAGGTTGATTCAAACTCTATGATTCTGTGAAATAAAATAGGTTATGAAAGGAGAGCCAAATACATTCCATAACTCCATCCAACTATCTATGTCATCCCAAACACTAAATTATTGCCTTACCTTTGTATCTGCCTTGTTGCTATTGTTCTGGCATGTGCAAGCTGTGACAATGAGGTGATGGCAACGCTTGTGTACAACACATGTGCAAACTAGAAAATAAAAACATAAACATTAAAAAAAAGCTGGAGAGCAGCACCACAAACTAAAACAGAGGTTGTAAGAAAAGATCTACCAGCAGAATAGCTAAATGTAGGCGTTACGTTTAGCATCTGGTAGTCTTGCAAAGACAAATAGTAACACTAGGTACTGTAATGGCTGGAATTCAATATGGGACTTGTTTCATTCTAGCGGGCGTATGTATATAGGAAACAGAACTGGCTAGCTTCATACTGTCCAGCTTTACTGTATGTACTCCTATAAAAGTCTAGAAATGTTAGTTAAAATTAGCTTCCAAGAACGGGTCAATTTAAGTACTTAACTCCTATCAAAAAAGGAACTACTTCCTTCTCTAAGTAGAGTGGCAAAAGGAGAGAGTTTAGTCCAGCTCAAGGGAATGGCCCTTCGCTTATCCATGGGTCATATGAACCTCCATAGTTTTGGGCCTCAAACTTGCCCTCTACTTATACATGAGGTCAACTTATATACAAATACATATATGGTACCTAGGGTTTGCTGTCACATTACTATACATCCATTGAACAATGCTGAAATTATTGATGTGTGTCAGAACACAGTGCAGAATGGGCACTAATGTACACTGGTGTGCTTTCCACCAAAAGAGCTGGAGCAGAACTAAAATGCACGATGAACATTAGATGTGCTAGAGCACACCACAAGGGCATGATGTGCCTCAAGTGAGCCTAATGTGCATCAGAATGTCTGATGCACCTTGGAGCACTTTTGCTGGTCCCTTACTATGCAGTTCTCTAGCATGGCTTCACTGCATCCACCTGCCAAACATTCATAGTTACCCAGTGTAGACCATGGTGTAGAATTACACTGTGAAATTAATGCAGTTTGATATGACTCAATTCTATGGAACCATCCCCCTTTAGGGAGAGCGGACAGGTTATAAATAAAGTTGTTGTTGTTGTTGTTGTTGGGACTTTAGCCTTCTTGGCCAAAAATGTACTGGTGCCTCAGCAAAGTACAACTTCCATGATACCAAAGCTTCGAGCCATGGCAATTACAGTGATGTCAAACTGCTTTTAATTTTACAGTGTAGATACACATTCAGCTACCTTTCCCCCCCTCCTTCCAAAAAATAGTTGCTTTCTGATGGTTGTGTGGAACTTTGTTTTATGCACAAAATTCCACACAGGCTATATGTAGAGGTTGTGTATTAAATAAGAATTAATTCCATGGTTCCTCTCTTGGGTCCCATCTCTAACTTTATCTCTATGTATTTTAAGTATTCCAAAAATAAAAAATAAGTTTTTAAAAAATCCAAAAATATAGAACATTTCTTCTCCCAATCATTTCAGATAAGAGATACTCAACCTGCGTTCCCTATCTTTCACTCATTTCAACAGGGCTTATAATACGATAGGGAAAAACCCCAATTTGTAATGTATAATTTAACTACAAAGATACAGCACTGTACCTTGGCACTGATATCCCTGCTTCCCAAACACTCCCCTGTTGAATAAAAGAGAGAATGCAACAGGATCAGATAAAACCACAACATGCAGGTCAGGTTTCAGGAATACAATCACTCCATGAGATAATCAGGGATGGGCAATTGTGGGTAGCTACAGGTGGTAGATTTCCCCCCCCCCCCCCTAGAAAACCCTGGAACGTCTGCCCCTTTACCACAATGCCACACACACAAGCATATGCATATACATATACATAAATAAATAAATAAGTAAATAAATATAATATAATATATAGATTCACTTCTGAGCTAGTGGAATAGTCATGTTGTAAGCACAATACATATATGGAGAGTCTTTCTCTATATTGATCTGTCCATCTTCAAAGTATACCAATAATAAAAATGTTGTTGTTGTTGTTGTTGTATGCCAATTGGATTTAACAGGACTCATCATGTTTATTCTCCCTTGGAGTGATATACATTGTTCTGTTGCCGCTGGACCTGAAATGAAGTGCTTTTAAGAGAGGATGTATGGCTTGAATCCAGCGGGAAGCCAGGGGGCCCAAAAAGGAGCCTTTAAGGAAATTTCCCTCATTAAACAGTCTTTAGGAGGCTTGAACTTAAATATAACAGTCTTTTATTGATGAACAAACAGGAATTGTAAAGCTTTCTTGGCAAAAAAAACAGTTCTCTCAAACTTGTCCACAGGGAACAGGCACTATCTTCAATAACTTTGTTCAAAGGAAAATTCCCCTTTCTAGCTCCTCCCAGGCTACTGTGAACCTAAACCTGACTGATTTGAATCCACTACCGCAGTGGTTCTCAACCTGGGGTCCCCAGATGTTTTTGGCCTACAACTCCCAGAAATCCCAGCTAGTTTACCAGCTGTTAGGATTTCTGGGAGTTGAGGGCCAAAACATCTGGAGACCCACAGGTTGAAAACCACTGCCCAAGACCTTTCTCAACGCCGAGCGAACCTATCAAAAGGCTTGCAATCACTTAGCTGCTTTGATGGTTTGAGCTGTTATTCCCTCCGGAATTCCTCAGGGCTGTAAGGCTGTTTCCCCGGAACCTTTGGGAATCTTTAGAGGCTCTTAAGACTGTTCTCCCCGGGAAGTCTTAAGGGACGAAGCCTTTGTACAGGAGGACGTCTGTATACATCCTCTGCATAGACTTCCTTTGCTGAGACTAACTGAAAAATGGCCCCTTCCCTCCAAAAAACCCAGAGAGGGGCGGGACCAGGGATCCTAACTATTATTGACAGGTGGCTTGCCCTATGAATGCAGCCAAAGGAAGCCACCTATCTGCAAAGTCCCTGCAACTTAGGACTATGAACAAACACTCAGTGCAAAACACAAAATTGGAGCCCCTGGAACAGCCGTTCCAGAACATACATTGCTTCACTTCTGCAATGTGAGATATCTAACTAATCAGACTATGAGAAATATACCTACCGTCACTTATTTAGTTGCAATGCAAAATAATCTATTTATTTATTTATTTATTTATTTATTTATTTATTTATTTATTTACAGTATTTATATTCTGCCCTTCTCACCCTGCAGGGGACTCAGGGCAGATTACAATGTACATATACATGCCAAACATTCAAAGACAGACACACAGAGGCTATTTAACATTCCAGCTTCATGAGGGTATTCTGACCACCAGGGGAGCTGTCGCTTCACCGTCCATTAGTGACACGATGGAGTACTTCCTCATTCTTTGCATGCTTGCTGGAGATTTTATGACATCGTAAATTAGTTAAATTAGCCTCCCTGCATAAGCAGTACCTAAATTTCCTACTTGACAGATGCAACTGTCTTTCGGGCTGTGTAAAAGATGATGCCTAGCAAACAGACTAAGGGACGACAATGGGTGAATCTGCACTTCATAACTGCTATGGCTTATAGCTATGGAATCCTTGTATAGATGGTATGGACAAGGCTGACTTTGGTGTTCACTGATATAATCTTTGTACTACAGGATTTTATGTAGATCCTTCATTTTGCCCCTTCCTAAAGTTTATCTACACTAGTGTAGATGTTCCCACAGATAATCTACACCAGTCATGGGCAAACTTCAGCCATCCAGGTGTTTGGACTTCAACTTCCACAATTCCTAACAGCCTTTCAGGCCCGTAGCCAGGATTTCATTTCGGGGGGGGGGGGGGGGGGGCTGAATTTTTTTCAGGGGGGGTTTCGGGGGGGCTGAGTTTCGGGGGGGGGGGCTGAGTCTGAGTGAAAGAGGGTCTAGCCTAGCAAACCTTTTGTATCATTACCCCAATACCCCCATGCATATGATATTGAGTATGGTGATCAGATCATGATATGAATAAACATAACAGTTTAAATAATGCACCAATAAGGCCTTTTCGCGAACCACCATGAAAATTTCGGGGGGGGGGCTGAAGCCCCCCAAGCCCCCCCCCCCCTGGCTACATGCCTGCTTCTGGTTGTTATGAATTGTAGAAGTTGAAGTCCAAATCACCTGGAGGGCCAAAGTTTGCCCATGCCTGTTCTACACTGTAGCATTAATACAGCTCAACATCACTTTAGTTGTCATGAATCAATGCTATGGAATTCTAGCAGTTGTATTTTGTTGAGGCACCTGAACTCTTTGGCACTTCAAGCAGTGTCAAACTGCATTAATTCTACAGCGTGGATGCACCCAATGCCAGGAAGCAAGAGTCAAGCCTGTATTTAAGCCATGCCTACCAGATAAATTCGCGGCAGTGGGAGCAGTATGTAGGTTGCCGCAAATAGGTGGCCATAAACTTGTGTCCGTTGACTTGGTGGACTCTCCTGCGCATGGCCCTCTGGCGTTTCCGAGTGAAATTCTTAAAAATCCTGTCCCTCTGGAGAGTTCCTGTGCATACAGAGAAAACAATGGTTAAAGGAAATAATGCCTGCTTATCTTTCAAGTGATAATGAACTCACAGCAACGTCACATTGACCCCCTTTAATTTGCAACCACAAGCAATTGCAAAGCAAATTAGCTTTTGCTGCATTCATTCCCTAGTTCCTTCCTTTCATGCACTTTTTTTTTTTTGCTTTATCTGCCCACTAGATTTGACCTCTCTCCAACTGCCATTGATGGTGGATCTACACCAGTGTTTCTCAACCTGGGGGTCAGAGGGGTCACCAAAGACCATAAGAAAACACAGTATTTTCTGATGGTCATGGGGATTCCATGTGGGAAGTTTGAGCCAATTCTATCGTTGGTGGAGTTCAGAATGTTCTTTGATTGTAATGAACTATAAATCCCAGCAACTACAACTCCCAATCTATTTTCCCCAGACTCCACCAGTGTTCACATTTGGGCATATTGAGTATTTGTGCCAAGTTTGGTCCAGATCCACCATTGCATGAGTCCACAGTGCTCTCTGGATATAGGTGAACTACAACTCCCAAACTCAAGGTCAATGCCCATCAAACCCTTCCAGTGTTTTCCATTGGTCATGGGAGCCAAGTTTGGTTCAAATCCATCGCTGGTGGAGTTCAGAATGCTCTTTGATTATAAGTGAACTATAAATCCCAGCAACTACAACTCCCAAATTACAAAATCAATCCTCCCCCAACCCCACTAGCATTCACATTTGGGTGTATTGGGTATTTGTGCCCAGTTTGGTCCAGTGAATGAAAATGCATCCTGCATATCAGATATTTACATTATGATTTATAACAGTAGTAAAATGATTGTTATGAAGTAGCAAAAAAAAATGTTATGGTTGGGGGTCACCACAACATGAGGGACTGTATTAAGGGGTCACGGCATCAGAAAGGTTGAGAACCACTGATCTACACTGTATAATTAAAGCAATTTGACACCACTTTGACATCCATACCTCAGTGCTATAGAATCATGGAAGTTGTTGCTTTATAAGGTCTTCTCAAACCTTCTTTGCCAAATAATGCTGGTGCCTCATCAAACTACAACTCCCATGATTCCACAACATTGAGCCATAGCAGTCCAAGTGGTGTCAAACTGCATTAATTCTACAGTGTAGATCAGTGGTTCTCAACCTTCCTAATGCCGTGACCCCTTAATCCAGTTCCTCATGTGGTGATGACCCCCAACCATAAAATTATTTCTGTTGCTACTTCATACCTGTCATTTTGCTACTGTTATGAGTCGTCATGTAAACATCTGATATGCAAGATTGTATTTTCATTCACTGGACCAAAATTGGCACAAATAGCCAATATGCCCAAATTTGAATACTGGGGGGGCAGGGATTGATTTTGTCATTTGGGAGTTGTAGTTGCTGGGATGTATAGTTGACCTACAAAGAGCATTCTGAACTTCACCACTGATGGAATTGAACCAAACTTGGCACATGGAACTCCCATGACCAAGAGAAAATAATGGAAAGGTTTGGTGGGCATTGACCTTGATTTTTGGAGTTGTAGTTCACCTACATCCCGAGAGCACTGTGGGCTCAAACAATGATGGATCTGGACCACACTTGGCATGAAGACTCAATATGCCCAAATGTGAGCACTGGTGGAGTTTGGGGAAAATAGACCTTGATATCTGGGAGATGCAGTTGCTGGGATTTATAGTTCACCTACAATCAAAGAGCATTCTAAACCCCACCAACGATAGAATCGGGCCAAATTTCCCACACAAAACCCCCATGACCAACAGAAAATACTGTTTTCTGATGGTCTTTAGTGACCTCTCTGACACCCCCTCACGACCCCCCCAGGGGTCCCGTCACTCAGGTTGAGAAACACTGGTATAGATGCACTCACCGCATGCTATGTACATGCATGTAAAGCGCTGTACAAATGCAAAGGTTAGAGAATCATGGTTAGAGAAACATGTGTCCTGCTACTCTCATATTGCAATTCCCATCTTTCCTCAACAATGACTATGGAGGCTAAGGCTGATGGGAATTGAAAAGTGCAGTAACATTTGGAGAGCCACATGTTCCCCATGGCTCTCACTTCTCACTGAAATTCGGATTTCCAGTTTCATTAAAAGATTCCCTAAATCCATTCATAAGCAGACAGAATACTGTATTCTCATACATATTGAATAGTTATCTACTTAACTTTTGCTGGGTTGAGTGGCAGGTTTAAATAAAACATTCATCACTTCTTCCAGTTCTTAAGAATGAGCTATTTTTAAATCTATACAATGAATATTTCCTTTTTCTGCATTGCCACATAGTTCCCCATAGGAATCCTTACACATGCTCACATGTCATTGTGCTCAGCAATTGACTTGTGCTCCAATGCTTTTTTAAAAAAGAAGTCTGTAACAATGATTTACTTATTTATTTCGTATCAAAAGCATTGCATAAATTAGTATAAAACTGATAAAAATAGAAAGAACACAAGCAGCAAAATAATTTTTGATCAAAAACCGGGCAACAGTGACTGCATTTTCTGAGGTGTTAAACAGTTCTTCCTCTGTGCATGAGGCAGGGCATTGTGGACAAGCATACAGGTGCAGTGCTGTTTGTTCTGCTCCATAGTCACATAAAGTGGAGGATTCTTTTAGGCCATGGTTTCTCAACCTTCCTAATGCCACGACCCCTTAATAGTGTTCCTCATGTTGTGGTGACCCCCAAGCATAAATTATTTTTGCTATATAAATTATATATATATATATAATATAAAATATAAATTATAGTTGCTGGGATTTATAGTTCACATACAAACAAAGTGCATTCAGAACTTCACCAATGATGGAATTGAACCAAATTGGAACACAGAACTCCCATGACCAACAGAAAATATGGGAAGCTTTTGGTGGGTGTTGACCTTGAGTTTTGGAGTTGTAGTTCACCTACATCCAGAGAGCACTGTGAACTCAAGCAATGATGGGTCTGGACCAAACTTTGCACAAATACTCATTATGCCCAATTGTGAACACTGGTGGAGTTTGGAGGAAACAGACCCTGACATTTGGGAGTTGCAGTTGCTGGGATTTATAGTTCACCTACAATCAAAGAGCATTCTGACCTCCGCCAACAATGTAATCAAACAAAACTTGGCACATAGAACTCCCATGACCAACATAAAATATTGGAAGCTTTTGGTGTGCATTGACCTTGAGTTTTGGAGTTGTAGTTCACCTACATCCAGAGAGCACCGTGAACTCAAATAATGATGGCTCTGGACCAAACTTTGCACAAATACTCAATATGCCCAAATGTGAACACTGGTGGAGTTTGGAGGAAACAGACCCTGACATTTGGGAGTTGCAGTTGCTGGGATTTATAGTTCACCTACAATTAAAGAGCATTCTGAACCCTATCAACAGTAGAATTGGAGCAAACTTCCCACAAAGAACCCTTATGACCAACAGAAAATATTGTGTTTTCTGATGGCCTTTGGTGACCCCTCTGACACCCCCTCGCGACCCCTCCAGGGGTCCCAACCCCCAGGTTGAGAAACGCTGTTTTAGGCAGTTCCATCAAAAGAATCCTCCACCTTGTGTGACTATGGATACTTTGATTGCAATTTTCCTGCTTCTTGGCAGGGAGTTGGACTGGATGACCCATGAGGTCTCTTCCAACTCTATGATTCAATGATTCTAGGGACAGCTAATCACCTCTCAACAAAGGATTCTCCCAGGCAGTAAGAACCCAGACCTTGAAAACTACTACGCCATTACATGCTAATCAAGGTGGCCAATTGAAACATTCACCTACCTCCAACAGACAAGAGTTCCTTCCCCCAATCTGGACATTCCACAGATCTATAAACCTCATTTTCCTTGTTTCCAACAGACCTCAAAACCTCTGAGGTTTTTAAAGCAGAGGCTGGATGGCCATCTGTCAGGAAGGCTTTGTTTGTTCCTACATGACATGGGATTGGGCTGGATGGCGTTTGGGGACTCTTCCAAAGCTAGGGTTCTATGATGCTAAGTAAAAATGACAGGCAATGCGTATGTTTCCTTGGGAGATAATATTTATCATCCTCATCATCTTCCAAAACATGCTTTCCTCATGTCTCACCAACCCTTTGTTCTTTGTCAACTTCCGGATTCTTTCAATGCAACCAGAGTCCTAAAGAAGTGGCTCAATGTGTCACGACTGCATACCACAGGTAGATTATCTGCAATCTTTACTGGCAGTAAGAATGTGTTACAGGTTTCTCTGGTTGCCAGTTGTTTGTTGTCTTTCCCCTTTCCTCCTCCATCTACTCCTACCTGCAGGTTATTCTTTCCCAATTGGCGTTCAAAGTCAGAAACAGGTGCTTTTGACAAAAAAAAAGTCAGACAAGGAATAATCAGATCAGTGCTAAAATCAACTGTAGGTGTAGTTGTTTCTTTAAGTTCACAACACATGGTGTTTTGAGATGTCTAAATCCAAACCAGCCTGTCTGCCTGCTTGTCCTAAAAGTTTTTAGACTTTTAAAAAAAGACTACAGTCAACATGCCCCATCCAATATGGTCATGTTGGGTGTGGGATTATGAGAGTTGTCATCCAAAACATCCAAGTTTATATAAACATCTGGAACCATGAAAATCTGGCTATCAGTATTAAAAACCTCTTAAATCAGGACCGTAAATAGAGCAACACTCCAAAAGCAGGAGAATTCCAGACAAGAATCAACCAGGGCCAGCTAACACCTCCCTACAAAGGATTCCCCCAGGCAGCAACCAGCCAGGCTTTAAAGCTGAAAGGCCATTTGATGCTAATCAAGGTGGTCAATTGCAACATTCAGACCTGCCTCTGACACCTGGACATTCCACAGATATATAAACCCCACTTGTCTAGTTTCCAACAGACCTCACAACCTCTGAAGATGCCTGCCATAGATGTGGGTGAAATGTCGGGAGAGAATGCTTCTGGAACATGGCCATACAGCCTGGAAAACTCACAACCACCCAGTCTGGAACTATCTTGC